TACAACTGCAGCAGCGGAGGACTATTATTCTGCTGCGTGATACTGCGGAAGAACTGATGACGGCACGGTTTGATCTTCGGCTGACCAATCAGTAGAAAGGGGCGTTTAATTCCCGCCCACATGTAGAAATCAAATATTCAAGCTGTTTATTAATTTTTCCACCCATGAACGAAAGACAAAAATTTAAGCTGAATTCTCGTTTTTCGTTTTATGGAAACATTTTTTTAAAAAGGAGCCATTTTCTAATTGTTCTACTTTCAATATTAAATCAAAAAATGAATGATCGAATGATACACGGATTCTCCTCTCTCCTCCCTCCTTAAATCTGATTGGCTTTCCATCGTTTTTTTTTTTTTTTTAAATGCTTCATTGTCAACAAGTAGCATGACTTTCCATCATCGTTGCCGTGAATAGTCTAGTTTGCGGTAGGATTTTGAGTCCAAGTAAGTCGAATCTTTTGACTGCGTTCACAAAAGATTCCTTCACTGATATCATTACGCCAGTAGGTGGCAACAAGAACGTCTTTTTGTGTTATGAGTGCGTTATTAAATCTTAACTCACCCAATTTCATAGAAACACTAGTTGTATTATCTTTGATTAGATTATATGTATCTACACATTTACTAAAAATGTCAGTTAATAACGTTTAAATGCCCCTCCCAAATGATAACTAATCAAGTCTGTTATTTTTCTCTCCATTTTATACACATTATTTTAATTCTATATCAGTCGTTTTTAAAAATTAGATTATTTAGTTCCGGTGTCCTGACATTTTATCCTACCCGTCAGATTGTCCTACCAGGGTTTACTGCGCATGCGCACATCAATATTGTGTCCTTTTTCTCACTCTGAACAACAATATTTAATGTATCTGCATTACTGTAAGGGTAGGTTTAGGGTTGGGGTAGGTGTAGACTTAATAAAACACAATCTAATAGGTAGAAAAAATGATTTATTGTTGGTTTCCTGTAGCTGTATCCCTTCTAGCCACAACCGTGAAAATAACACATAATTACTGTATTTGCATTACTGTAAGGATAGGTTTAGGGTTGGGGTAGGTGTAGACGTTAATAAACCATAATTTTACAGGTAGCATTTTTCGTTGTCGAATTGTACTACCCACTGTTATAATGGGAGGTAGCAAAATCTGACAGGTTAGCACAAATCGACAGAACACCGGTACTACTTTTTATGAACGATAACGAACATCCTTGTCAGCAGATCTGCGTTGACAAATGAGATGCTTCGTTCAAATTCAAAGCAACTACTCGTTTAATAAAAAAATGAACAGAAATTTTTTAATTAATGTCTTAAGTCATTTGTGATTTCACTGACGTTTGCCATCTTTTGTCAGCTTCGTTAAAAACGGGGAAAAAAAAGGCATGGCATGAAAGTGTTCACTCATTTGAACATTCATTCAAAGCGATTCACGGCTGCGTCCGAAAACTCTAAAATGCTGCCTTCGGAGGCAGCACTCCAAGGCAGGAAGGCATCAAAATCTGCTTTAATTCCTGTCGCCGGAGGAACCTTTTTCTGATCGAATTTTGAAGGCAGCATAGATGTATCCTTCGCTGCCTTTGATATCCCACAATCCTGTGTGTTCCATTCCGTGACGGTTGAGCAAAAAAATAAAGATGGCATCTGAAAGTTGCGTTTGGTGGTCAGTTTGTCTGTAAATGTATATTTCTGACTAACTTTTTGCACTTTTGATGTTATTTCTAGTGAGAAATCAGTATTATAGTAATTAAATATTTGTTTAGTTATCACAAAAACTCATTCTATTTTGTTGTAGATCATTTAACCATTATGCTGCCTCAGAAGCCTGTCCGAAATCAGTTTCATGAGGTGCCTTCGTGCAAAAACGCTGCC